GTTAAACTGTTTTTGAAGGGAACACAGCAGGATAAACTTAAAGTATATGGACTTTGATGTGATCATCAGCCAGACATTGAGAGCTACAGAGTTTTATGTCACGGGGGGAGTGRCGAGCTCGCTCGAGACACTAGACGCATGTGCTATATATGCATGCCTGCCTTCCATAAGGTTGGGAAAAAAAGCGCACAAGACACTTAATTTGTCTTAAAATACAGACATTCTGACAAATAAGTAACTGTTTGTAACCTTACCTCAGCTTAGAAGGCAYAGGGTGTCGGTCTTTTCTGCTCAGATTCAGATATCGGTGCATGAAGCTAATCTTTACTCACAAGGCTAATGCTCTCTTACTCTCTGGCGCTCAAGAGGTAGAGGAGCCAAATGTCTGGCTCACTGCTGCCAACTAGAGGTCAGAGACTGAACTACAACATAAAAATGGAAGGCTGGCAGGAAAGTTGACATTTTAAACCTAAATAAAAAATCGATACAGGGCTTTAGAATATCGATACAGTATCAGGAAATGAAATATCGCGATATTTCATTTCCTGATACTGTATCGATATTTTCTTACACCCCTAAACTATAGTGAAAGTTTGAAAAACTGCCTGGCGGAAAACAAAAAACAGTTGGATGTTAGTAGGGTTAGACGTAAAGAAGTCCGGCAACCCCAGACCCTTTTGATTAATATCCTCTATCAAAACTCAACCAGTCAGTTCTCCTGTCTGTTTTCAGGAGGTCCGCGTCTAACTTGTTGACTCTGTGCGAGTGTATCAGGCCCTTTGGATGAGTCAGGTTTTCACCTTACACAGGGTTCATCTTAAAAAGTCTAAAAAAGGTCTAAAAATTGAAAATCTAAATTTTAGGCCTAAAAAGTCTTCAGTCCCCAGATTGATTGATCCAAAGTCTTGAATTTAATTTTGTCAAGTCTTAATATTCTTACTTTTGGTCATTCCTAAGAAGTGTTGCTGCATAAATAAATAGAGCAAAGGACCGTAATCAGAGGTTGATGTGATCTGTCTTCATGAGGTGCTAATTTTTCTACAGGTCTTGGTCTGTGGTTAAACTACAAATCCTGTGATAACTGCAGACAAACAACGGCACAGTTTACTTCTATGTTTTCAACCTCTTTGCTGCTAAAACCCCTCGCACACGGCATCTTATTCACCCGCCCAAKAAACAAAGAAGTTCAGTCATGTCCACTGCTTGTGGTTTCAACATGAGAAACTGTGCCAGAGACTCAGATTGAAATCAATGATTTCTGCACTCAGTTGGAAGCGGTCCACGGCAGTCAATGTGAAGGTCTCATAGATATGATTGTTTCATTAAAATAATTTAGTGTTCTTCTGTTAAAATTAAATGTTCTTTAATAGCTAAATTGATGCAATAAAAGGTTTCTATGTTAATATTTCTGGGACCATTAGAGTGTTTCTGTTAATGCCTCGGTTTGGTCTTAAATATCATTCTTAATGGTCTTAAAAGGTCTTGAAACAAAAATGTAACTTACTGAAACCTGCATGAAGCCTGCCTGAATGAAAAGTTATTGAGAATCTATCATTTCACCGATAAGCCAAGTCGTGTCCCTGTGGTCCTAAACTTTCTCTCCTTATTTTAGTTTTTATTTTGGAAAAAAACTGTGGTGGGATGTTTTTAAATTCCTTACTTTTATATGAGAGTTAATCTTGAGTTTTTATGTTTTTTATTCAGAGCTCTAAAAATGCCATGTGATTGGTGCTGCTTTCATTTGACTCTGTTTGGACGTGTCCTTGTTTTTTTCCAGTGAGGGACAGGAGGAAAAGCAACCACATAAACCATGTCACCCATGTAAGTGTCTGATTTTACATRAGAGTTTTAATATTTCATCTAAATCTTTTTTATGGCAACTAGTTTTGTCGGTAAAACCAATGGGCCTCATGCAAGAACRYTTCGTACAKACAGATTTGTTSTTAAYTTGTGCGTARGAGTGATTTAGGAGAATTTGTGGCATTCACCAATGTTTTCGTATTCTAAGATTTTTTTCAGATACGAACAAAATTCACGAGTGGTCCAGACCTGTCGTATATTTTACGAGCAGTCAGTCTGCTGTTATCCAGACGGGTTTTCCTCCATAATAACTTTATATTTCATTATTTAGAAAATATTTCAAGTTGAAAATAAATCACACTCCATAATTATGTTGACAGTAGGTTATTCTGTTTGAAATGGAATTAGATTTTAATGACATAAATTGATTAGATTAAGTTAAATTGTCTTTTAATGCTGTTGTATAGGACTACAATATTAATATGAAAATCACAAACTAAAAAACAACTTAAATTATGCATTAATTGAAGTTTGGAGACGTTTTAAAATGCGTCTTTTCAGAACCGCATCTGTCACTTGCTATGGGGGGTCAGCCTTCTTCTGAATAAATGTAAACACAGTAACACAGTTGTTTCCACTTAAATTAAAAATATTTGACCAAAGCAAAACCGGAGCAGGACTAGAGAGAGAGATGAATATGATTTATATTTTTATTTCTATGACTGTAACGACCCACAGGAGACACGACATTAACAACACATTTCATTCCTTTAAGCAGCTCCTTTAATTCCACATGATGCTGCTAACGAGAACAGATTTCTTTCTCGAACTCGGAGAGCAGGACTACAATCTCTGAACTTGTAAAGTTCTTCTTTTTTACTTTGCAATGTCATTTATGAATGGACACTTCCTGGTATGTGGGGCAGGAAACATAGCCTTATATGGTGTTTTTGGGGTGGTAATTATGTAAATAACCTCTCCTCGTGCACGAGCAGCTGGATACGAACAGGTGAATTTACGCAGCTCATTTACGCACTTTTCCTGAAGATAGAAGTGTTTGTTGAATCTGACGTGACATGTTCGTACGAAACCTTTGTACGAACAAAAGTAAGAGAAATTTAGGATAAGAATATGAACATGTTCTTGCATGAGGCCCAATGTTTCTTACTCCTGTTTGTTTGTATTTATATTTACATTGTTTCTTCTACCAAATATGTCAATAAATGACCACAATAATAGTCAGTGACTAGCTGCGTTTCCCTTACAAATGTGCGCAAAACTTTGTCGATATTCTGTTAATGTCGAAAAAACACAGTTTTGCAACTGCGGTGTTTCCATTAAGTAAGAAATGCTATTAAAGTCACACGTGAATACGTTTGTTCTCGCAATAAGTCATTACAAACATGGCAGCACATAGCATGTTGCTACCACGACACTAGCGCTCATCATCAGAGGAGACATCGGCGTCTTTTATCGAGGCTTTCCAGAGACAAGTCCCTACTTGGGAGCGGCTACGTATGCTGTGTTTTTGGGAAATTGTAGTCGGTGAGTTTACTATTTTATACTACTTCTGTGATATTACTACTACTTCTACTTCCTGTTATCTTCTTCATCATCATCTTTTTCACCAGTAGAAACAGCCGGTTGTTGATCACGTGACTCCCGTGATGCGAAAAAAGTGTTTCCATTGCAGTTTTGCGAAAAATACCAATTTCGATACGGCCGAAAAACCACTTCATCCTAGCGCAAAAACATTTTGTCGAAAAACATAATTATTTTTTTAAATTGACTTGTTTCCATTGAGCAAATTTATTTTTGAAATTCTAATTTGCGCATTTCCATGGTCAATGGAAACGCAGCTTGTGTTTGTGTGAAAACACCAAAGTACTGAACTCAACCAGAACCGAGAAGTTCTTAGCAAGAACCAGAGTTAATACCTGACAYTGAACTTGTTTCTTTCTGTTGCTTTTTCTGCCCAAAACACGACCATTTATTTCAAACAGCTGACGTTAACAAACTTTCATGCTGTGTTTTGTTTCCTGTCTTCAGGTGTCCCCTGGTCCGTTATCAAAGAAATACAGCTCCTGTTCTACCATCTTCATAGACGACAGCACCGTCAGCCAGCCCAACCTCAAGAGTACAATCAAATGGTGAGAATCCACTCAAACGGTTAAACGTTGCTGGAGAACTATTTGTTTCAGATGAGAAAAATCCTGTTACATAACAGRGCTGTAATCCTAGAGTAATACGGAACAGATGTTTGAAGGCATCACAGATGTTTCTCCACATTTGGGACAAAAATCTCTTGTTTCAGTAAGATTGGATTGTCATTTGTCCTCGGCTTTCCTGCTGAGTTTGCCAGTTTTGTCACCATAAATTCTGACACAACACTTCCTTCAGTTGTTTATTTTGTAGTTTAAAATAATGAAAAAAACTAACTTGACATACATGTTTTTACTTCCTTTCTCTTTAGTGTCACTTTAGCGATATACTACCACATCAAAAACAGGTAGGTTAAAGTCTTCCATTGTTTAGTTTTTAAATCCAACATGTCTGGGTTTCTAACCATGGATGTTTGTTTTCAGGGACTCAGACAGGTCACTGGACATCTTTGATGAGAAGTTGCACCCTTTATCAGTGAGTATGTGGAGGAAGTTCTCACAAGTCTGTTTTATTTTCTTCATTCAGTACTTTCATTTAGATTTATGACAAACTACCTGTTGGACAGTTTCCATTCAGTCCCTCTGAGATGATTTGTGTTTTAATAGTTCGTCTCAGCTGAAACTTGTTTTCTCTCTCAGTACAGTCTGTGAGGATGCAGCAGAGGACAAATTAATACAAATCTAGGAAGTGATAACGTGCTTCTCTCTGAAAACCCTTTGATAAAACAGCTTAATCAGTTTGATTTCTTCAGTTCTACAATATGTAGGAAATCGTCCTTAAAGGGATCCACGATTAGTTGTAACATTAGACTTTATTTGATAAACATATATTTTAATTGTAAAATAAAGAC